GGATAAACTAAAATGTACATAATATTTGATATATATATATATATATATATATATATATATATATATATATATATATATATATATTGATTTTGTATTCTACGAGACACACATAGACATCACGAGCTGGGCTAGGCTTGAGTCAGGCAACATAACCCAGGCCCTAGCATGGAGATTTGTGGGCCGAGCTTTTGTACTGGGCTAGAAATGATCACCCTACTTTTCAAAAGCCCATTTCACCTTGTAATAGTATCTTTTTTGTATATATACAAAACTACCCTCATTTAGACTTTTAGAGTTCTTGAAAGGACAAATATTTTTGCCATAAAATGATAAGGTTAAAGTGGGAATGAAAAGTTGAAAATAAGTTCAACAAATAAAATAAGAATTTAGATTATAAAACTACGTTTAGAATGTACTAGCATCTTATTGCATAAGAGTATTCATTTTTACTCTTTCATCTTTATTTTGACAAGTGCATAGCATGTACAATTACACTGGTTAGTAGTAGTATCTTCTAATCTATTGTTTCCTTTCATTTCTATAATGTGTAGAGGTGTAAAACGGCTGTAAAGTGCGGGTAGTGCTGTGACGGTCTTTGGGCCGTGCCGCCCTCTTCAGGATAATTTAGGGGCTGGCCCGATACTGCTCACAACTCAAGTCCGTGTGGGTCGATGCCGTGCCGTGTCATGGGCCTGTGTCAGGCAGGCTGAGCCATGGGTGAGGGCCGAACCAGGTCAGATTATTTTTTTGTTTTTTGTTTTATTTTTTCTTTCTTTGTTAAGTAAAGCTGAAATATTTAATTTTCCTTTGGGAACTATTTGAAAAAATAAGAAATCTAATAAAGAAATGAAAAAAAAAACTTAATCAAATAAGAAGTCAAAGAGACAAAGACTCAAAGTGAATAACAAATTGGAAGAAAAATAGGAATTTTATTTCATTTAAATTTGAATGATACAAAGCATACAATGATTGGATGAATGGAATATGAAAATTGGAAAATGGAATAAATTAATAAAATATGAAAAATACAATATAGTTACAAATTGAAAATAAAAAATTACGTTATTAAAAAATATCAAATAAATTAAATAAAATTAAAACAAAATTTATAATAA